ATTGATATTAAAATGATTACCTTCCAATCAAATAGTTATATATTTTATGATTTTTGTGATTTTGTTGCAAATATGATCTATGAGGTAAGACTTAATAATTAGAGAGTCAGAAGATCAAAACTCAATGCGGAGTTGGTGGGGTTAGTCTGCTAATGATATTCCTCATTATGCATATGAAGTAGTTCTTTTGGATGACAAACCCGAAAACGTGAGAATGTTGCATATTGATGAATGAATCGAATTTTTTGCTTGAAACAGACAACGTTTTTGATGCATATGCTAAGGCTCGAGAGCAGTTATCATTTGGTATGCGAAAAGGAAACCTCTCTCTGCTGCCTCCTTCAGCCCTCCCTCATCTCTCATACACAAACCCGGGACACAAAGAGGAAACCACCACTCCAAAACGCAGGTATTCATATCAGTTATGTTTGTTGTCGTCTTATTTTTGGGTTTCCACAGTTCAGGTAATTTTTTTTTTGAAAAAAAAAAACCTTATGTGTTTGATTTTGGATCTGGATTCCTCAGAGGTCGAACGAATGCATGTGAAGCGGCGAAACACTTCGGTCCAGCTCCCGGTGTACCTCAAAAGTACACCAAACCTTATGTCCGGTCAAAGAGAAGGAAGTTTGAGAAGGCTAGAGGAAAGAGGAACAATGAGGGCTTTAGAGGTTGAATCATTTAGAATTGAAAATGCTATTTGTAGAACCTAATTTTGCTGGTCTTTAGGTGTCTGGTATCATGTTTATTTCTCTGTCTAGTAAATGTGTTGATGAAGGCATTGCTGGTTCAACAAGAGAGAAGCCCACTACCATCTATCTCGAAAACTATCCATGTGTATGGTTTTCTGCAACCTGAATGGCCAAAATATTTAAAATTGTGTTATTTTTTATTCTTTCGAGATGCTTAGCTGCAGCTTGCGGAAGTTGAAATTAGTGTGTTCAGAAATGTGAAAGGTGGTGTATGTGAGAGTTATGCAACTCCTAAACCCATAAAGGTGGCTCGTGTAAGTACATAGGTGAAAGATAGTAGCAGCATTAGGAAGATTTTGATTGTTTATTGAAAGTCCAATGTCTGATAAATAAAAGAAAATTTGTGGCCATGAGATTCCGTAGATCATATGATTCTTCCTGAGAATGTGTGTTTGTCTAAGTCCATCGCATATTGATTCCCTTTGTTACCATCCACTTGATACTTAGAGCCTCCTGACCACATTATAGTGCATTGCCCAGACTTAACCTTTTTGGTTTGTAGTTTGTTAAAAATGCTAGGGTATATACCATAATGCGAATTCCATCATCCTGAATCCTATTCTACTCATTAGTAGGCATTTTATAATCTCTACCAAAGTTATGATTGGCTTATTTGTTGCATCTGAAATTGTGTTGTTGAATGTCTCATAAGCGTTGTTGATGAGTATGTCACATTTCACATGTACTTTGAAGTGGGATTTAGACCACTATTGTGGAGACTTAGATAATAGCCATTCTCTTATGATATTGCAAGACTGTAGTGGCTTTGACACAACCCCAGTAGATGTCTTTAAATGTATTGCCTTTGAGTAATTTTATGTAGTAACTAAATAAATGCCTCGCACAAAAACGATGCTCAGCATTAAGTACTATAACTTCTCTTCAAATGCTCTAGACAATCTTTTTTGCCTGTCAGATTTAAATCCCCACCCATGTGAGTTAACAATATCAAAATTAGCAGCTAGCAATTCAAGGAACCAAGTCCAAGAGTGTTTTGTCTTTATCTCCACCACTACATAAGGAATGACCAATGTCTCATTCTTAGCATCTATCCCAATTGTTGTCAACATTTTGTCCCTCATACACTGCCATCAAGTGACAACCATCTATTCCAATTAGAGGCCTATAACCTTCATTGAACCCCTTTTTACACTCTCATAAACATACATAAAGTCTTTGATACACTGCACCATTTCCATTTAAATCACACTTTATTTTCATGGTGGTTCCTGGATTAGTTCTCTTCACTTCTTCACGACCATTCATTTGAAGCAGCATCTAGTAACGACTTTGGAACAATAAGTTAAAACTATTTTGTTTTCGTATTTAACTTTTCCACGACCACCTTCTAATCTTTATCCAAATTTGGTGCAAGCAGTGTAACAAGCACACACAATAAGACTATATCAGAACACATTAACACAGAGACATTTTTTGGGTCTTGTAGAGGAAATGGTATCAACCTTCAAACTAGGACCACTAGCACTTAAGCACTAGGGAAGGTAGAAGGCCAGTACACACACACACACACATATATATATAAAGTTGTATGCAAAACACCACCCGTCAAATTGCACATTTGCAATAAGTTGTCAATACTTAGTGAAAAATTGTCGACAAGTTTAATTGACATGTAATTGGTGTCATTGTTGTTGACGTAGAAAAATGGTTCGGCACTTTCCCGCTCAACTTAGTGATTTGTTTTTCCTTCGGTATGCTATGTCCTCGGTAGGGCGGTTTACTGTCTTTAGATTGTTAGAAAAAACAATTATCAATGACTGATTAAAACAATTATATAAACAGAATTTATAACAATCTGTAACACAGAATACAGTATATGAACAATAAATAAAACTGACTTGAATTTGAGATAGAGGCTTGCAGATTTGATGCAATGTCCTAAAGACAGTAATTTCACCCCTTCTCGGTGCTTGAAGTTCTACAGGTGACTGCCTCCCAGGATTCAACTATCTGTATTCTAAGCCCTAGCACTCGGACTTAGAATCTGGCGAACGTTGTTTGTTTTCCTCTCAGACAATATGAAATGCTTGTAGAATGCTTTTTCTGTGTTGAACGTATGAGGCCTTATTTGATTTAAATAAACTTCTGAAACCTTATCAGAAGAGTCACAACTGTTAGAAAACAGTTAATAAAACTAATCCGAATTAATAAAAAATTATTAATTCGAAACCAAAAAATAATTTTAAATCTGAAAGTGCCCCAAGGCCCAAGGCCCATCTTTTTGACTATTAAATATTATATATTTTTATATAATATTCAAAGCCCAAATCGATTTTGAAGCCCAAATTGCTTCCACTTGGCCTACTTCCATTTACTAAGTGTGACACTTCCACACTTATAAGGACCTCACTCTTTCTACTTTCTATCAATGTGGGACAAAGGTTCTTGAATTTAATTCAAACTTCCAACAGATGTGATGGGACTTCGAGTTGGCTTACATATTCGTGAGGCATAGGGACCTTGAGAATCAGTTTGGTGAGATCATGGCAGAGGTGGAGCAATTCATTTCTTTGGCGTCGGATCCTTCGGCAAGTGAATTAGATGAGGACTCGTGGGTTAGTATGGAAATTGATAGCATCGTGAGAGATTATATGTTTGCAAAAGGGGCTGAAAACCTAGAGGGTAAGAAGGAGCCTCAAGAAATGGTTAAGGCTAAGGAAGAGCATATGGAAAATTCCAATGGAGAAGTCGTTCGAGTAGAGCCAAGTGATGTGGAGATGAGTGAAAGCCACCAAGGAGTTGAGCCAACAAGGGCGTGAGACTTTTTTGGTGCGGGTGGTTTACCAAACCCTTAGGTCTTATTTGGTGGACCGGACACTGGACAAGTCCAATTAAATTGGACATGAATCCAATTCGTTGTTTGGTGGGCTTGAGTGGATCACGGACTGGTTAGGACTTGGATTTTTATTTCAGATACCAGTCTAGCATATGTTGCATTTGGAAACCCACGCCAAGACCTGGGTTTCAAATGACTCCGCCTCTCTCTTAATCTGTTTGTCTTCGTTTGCTACATAGGTTTTGAGTAGCTTTTCTTCTTCTAGAGGCATGTGAATGTACACCAAGGAATTTATACTCTTAGTAAAAAGTGAGAATACTCTAAAGATATGATTCGTTAAATTTTTGGGCAAAGTATTGGATAGGATTGCATTAGGAAAGTTTGCTATCTCGTCTAAGTGAATCATAGCCTAGAAATGTCGCATTGAGGATTTGATACAAGTTAACTATATCCCGATAATGTGACATAAAGTATTGTTAGAAAAAAGGACCGGATTGCATTGCAATTACAACTGGCTATGTTCTCCAATGAATTCTATTTACCTTGGGTAGCCATGACATACTGCTATTTCTTAATCCATTCCTTTTCGGTGCGCAATCTTATAGGTTCTAAGTAGTGAGGCGCCAGTGGGTAAATCTGATTCCTTTTGAACCAAGAATGAATTGAATCTCATCATTCAATTCTCCCTATTGGAAAAGTCAAAGTTAAAGTCAAAGGTTAACCATTCACCTGACACTTGACATGGTTAACAAGGATTGACCGGGACCAATACTTGTAAGACAAAATTAATGACTTAATTAATTAAGCCATTAAACAAATTAAACAAATTAGAATAATTTAATTTAAACAGTTAAAATTATGAACTTGGTTGGGTCTCACATGACTTATAAAATTAAGAATTGAACCATAGGACTTTAGACATATGTGACACATTAAGGTATAAATGTGTTGGACCAAAAAGGCCCAAAATTAGGCTACCAAAGGGAGGTTGCGAAACACAATTGAAGTTAGGTCCACATGTGTCTCAACATGGGTCTATATATATGATGTCATAGCACCATTTCATTTAAGGTTTTCAAGTTGGAAAATTGGATGAGAGGAAAAATCAGCACTACAACAAAAATGGGATACGACAACATAAAAAATTGCAATGTCCTATTTGAACGTTGTGAAAAAGGGTGATCAACAACATTCATTTAGAGCATCTCCAGCGCAAAGCCCAGTCCGGGGGAAAGGCAGCCAGAGGGAGCCCGAGGCAGCTCCAGCGCAGGGCCCGTAGCCCGGTTTGGTGGTGGGTCCCACGAGCCCGAGGAAGCCCACGGGCAAGTCTTGCCCGGGCTGAAGCCCGAGTTGGCTGACGTCACGCTGACGTCAGCGCACAGTAAAACAGATTTTTTTTTTTTTTTTGGCTAAAAAAATTCTGAAAAATTCTGAATTTTTTTTTTTAAATACCAAAAAATTCTGTATTTTTTCCCTATAAATACCTAACCATTTTATTCACTTTCTACACCAAATCTTCATAAAAACTCATCTCCTTCCAATATTTTTCACTTTCCACATCAAAATCTTGGCAACGAGGTAAAAAAAAAAAAAAAAATCCGTTTTATTCAATTTAATGTTTTATATATATATATATTTCTTGCATTTCCAATTTCTTTTTTTTAATAGATTAGTCAAGGCAAAACCAAAAATGTTATTCGAATTATAATAAATATGGACACGTGGTAACCAAAAATTTTATTTGAAAATTTTATTCGAAAAATGTTATCTTAAATTTTAAATGAAAATTTTATAATAAATAGTGACACGTGACAACCGAAAATATAATCTAAAAAGCTTATCAAAATTAATAGTTTAAAGTATAAACAAATAGGAAATAAAGTACAATGAATAGTAATTGCCTTAGACTTGCCCTAGACTTTGCCCTCATGGGCGCACATTGTCATACACCATTATGAACCATCATTTTATGATGTGTAAAAAACACACTGTTGAAAATCAATATAACAACGCGGCATTGTGCGTTGTGAAATAGTATATTATATCCCCAACGTTGCTGTGAATGTTGTGATTTATATTTAAAAAAATACAACATAGAGTTGTACGTTGCGAAATAGTATTTTATATTCGTCACGTTGCAATGGATGTTGTGATTCCTATTAAACAATACAACGAAGATTTGGGCATTGCGAAATAGTGTTTAATATTCACAACGTTGACATGGATGTTGTTGAATCTGATAAAAATATTTTAGAAATTATTATTCTATTATTATAATATTTCAGTCCCAATGGCCAAAATATTTGGCGCTAAACCAAATAGTAGAGGAAAAATTGGCGCTCAGTCCTAAAACCCAAATATACATATATATATATATATATATATATATATTGCCAAAACCTGAAACACAATTATTGGACTTGTTTTTGAGAACCCAATCGTAACATCCTCCCTCCTTGAAGACTGAAAATCAACTGAAATTTGGGGATGATCCCTAAATGTTAAATTTGTCTTCAAATCTGCTCCTCTATTTTCTTGGTGAGTTATTGTTCTTTAATTTTGCAATTTTTTTTTTCAGTTTCTTTGAGTTCACTAAAAAATTACCTATGAGTTTCATAGACGCTTTGTTTGACAATTTCTTTTTCGTATTCTTAGTTTTGACCCAGTAAGAGAGAGCGAGTAATCAAGAGAGAAAGAAGAAAAGGTACTGCTCTCCCATTGTGTTTTCCTAATCTAGACTTCCAAATTTCTTTTCAATTTTCTACGGGTATAGACCCAATCGCGATATCGTGATATTGTAGTTTTTACATTGCACTTTGCTTAAAATAGGACAAGACCTAACTTAAAAGACTGGTCTGCTCTTTTGATTACTGTACTTTGTTTTAATTATTTTGCATTGATTGTTTCGTTTGAGCTTTACACTTGTTTATTATTATTTTTTCTCTTCCAAAGTAATTTATCCTTGTTAAAAAGTCATGGTATACCTAAGAAGTTACTATTTTGTTTTATTGAATTTTGTCTTCATCCCTCAATGGCAAAACAAATTAAGAAATTTTGTGTGTAAACAGTTGCTGAATTAAGTTGCTGCCAATGGATAAGGAATGGGTTCACTTACCAAGGTTAACTTCTTGACCTTTAAGACACAACCCATAATATTATGTGTTTTAGGACATTTCAAACTAGACTGTAAGAACAAAAACTTTTGTTTTGTAGATATTTGGATGAGTACAGGGTCGAAGAGCGCAATTTTGTCAATATTGCCAGTGAAATTGTAGGAAATCTAGATATAGTTTGCCCTTATGTGGTATGCAAAAACTTGGAGCACCATCCTATTTATGTAGTGTACGATTACTTGATCTTACATGGCATGGATCCTAGCTACACTACTTGGGTCCTTCACGAATCTATGATGGATGGGGACATAGAAATGTTGGAAACATATAAGATGTATAAAGATCAAATTGGTTTGCAAGAAGGTAATGTGGCAGCACAAACAAATGAAAGGATAGAGGCAGAAACATCAAATTTTATTAGGGATGCTGAAACTTCTTTGTTTGATGGCTGTATAAAGTACACAAAGATGTCAACAACAATGGCTTCATTTAAGCTTAAAGCTGCATTTGGTGTATGTGACAATTTTTATGATGAGCTCCTCCCAATTATTTGTGACATACTCCCAGATCAAAACACACTTCCTACTTCAATATACGCAATTAAAAAATTGCCAAAGAAATTTGATCTTGAGTACGAGAAGATACATGCTTGCATCAACGATTGCTGCTTATTTAGAAGAGATCTTGAGCATGTACAAGAGTGCCCAAAATGTGGTTCTTCTCGATGGGAAGTTAGCCCATGTCCAAAAATGAAAAAACAAGGAGTCCCTGCAAAAGTCTTGCTTTATTTCCCAATAATACCAAGACTAAAAAGAATGTTTGGTATGGCTGAAATTGCTGAACAACTAAGATGGGATCATACTAATAAAAGCCATGACGGTAAAATGAGGCATCCGGTGGATTCAATTGCATGTGAGACAATAAATAGGAAATGGGATTCTTTTAACTTGGATCCTCGAAACATTCGTTTTGGCCTTGCTACTGATGGGTTTAATCCTTTCCAATATCTTAGTTCGAGGTATAGTTGTTGGCCAATAATTTTAGCTACATATAATTTGCCACCAAAGTTATGCACATCCAAGGAGAACTTGATGTTGACTTTACTCATCCCAGGTCCAAAACAACCAGGTAATGATATAGATGTTTATCTAACACCTCTTAGAGAAGATTTGAAAGAGCTTTGGATTAATGGAGTTGTGGTTTATGATGCATTCAGTATGTCCACATTAACTTAAGGGCAATTTTGATGTGGACAATAAATGACTTTCCAGCCTTTGGAAACATGTCAGGATGGCCTACAAAGGGACGGTTTGCATGTCTTGTTTGCCGTAAAGGCACATGTTCAGAGTGGCTTTCACATGGCAGAAAATTTGCTTACATGGGACATAGACGATTTCTTCCTTTTGATCATCCATTTCGCAAAAAATTGACGTGGTTTAATAACAAGCATGAAAAGGGGGTGAAGCCTAAGTTATTTACTAGTGAAGACACTTTATGGGAAGTTGGAAACCTTGTGAATGATTTTGGGAAAGCAAGTAAAAAAAGGAAAAGAAAAAAGAAAGACAAGCACTCAGAGCAATTATGGAAAAAGAGGTCAATATTTTTTGACTTACCATTATTGGAAGGTACACTTTGCTATATACTATGTCCTCTATTATGTCGTTCTCCTCAATGTTATGATAACATTATTTTTTCCTCATTCTCCTCAATTTTATGATAACATTATTTATATGACAGCAAGCATTTGGTTATTTATTATGCAGACTTTACTTGTGTGTCACAACTTGGTGTGATGCATATCGAGAAGAACATATGTGAAGCCATAATTGGTACTCTTTTGCAAATTAAAGGGAAAAGTAAAGATGGACTTAATTCTCGACTGGACTTGGAAAGCATCCTAAATAGAGATGGATTGTATGCTGAGAAAAGAGGGAAAAAATACTACTTACCAGCTGCATCACACACTCTCTCAAAGGTAGAGAAGCAAACATTTTGACAACGTAATATGCAACGTAAATAAGATGTTGTCAAACTATTATCCACAACGTGAAAATGATTGATAGATGTAAATTATTATTATTTATAAAAAAAACAGGATTTGACAACGTCCCAATTCACGTTGTGGATAACAATTAGATAGCGTCCAAAGAGTGTTAAGAAAACCTAATCTGTAACGTAAATAAGATGTTGTTAAAAGAACAAGAGTATCACGATGTCCATAGAGCGTTGTCATATATAATATAAAATACTGTGTGCTATATTTAAACAACGTTCACGCACATGTAAGACAACGTCTGAAACATGTTGTTAAATGAATATGACTTTTAACAACATAAAGGTAACAACATACATGTGTTGTCAAACACCATTCACAATGTACACCGTGCGTTGTTAAATTCATATTATGGTGTAGTGCGAACCTTTCTCTCAAGTCTGTGGAAACACATATTTTCGGCAGCTATTCAAAAAGTGACACTGGAAGATGTTATATTCCTTAGGTAAAATAATTGCGCTAATTAAATCTCATTTAATTAGCCAATTATCCTAATTTAAGATATGAGTATCTCCGATTTAATTAGCCAATTATCCTAATTTAAGATATGAGTATCTCCCTAAATCAAGGATTCGATTTCCACCTAATCTCCTTGATTTATCCTATCATCTTATTTATGGAAAAGAATGATTCACATTAAAAGGGAATTACTCCACAAATCCTACCAAAGAAGGAGACTCTATGTAAAGGCAAACATAATTCACACATGAAGTAATTCTGAAGCTAATTCCAAAACCCTAGCAAAATACCCCAAGGCTCTCACGACACCTCTCTTTTCTCTCTCTCTCTCTCACGGCTCATGTCGTCCACCTCTCTTTCTCTGTCCCGGTGTCTTCTCCACCTCCTCTCTCTAGAGAGCAAACTCCATAGCTTTCAGTTTTATCTGCACTTCTTGAGACCATAAACTAACTTAGGCATCGGTGTAATATTCAGTCCCGAAATTTAATTTAATTTTCAAAATTCTAAAGTGAAAGGACAACTTTAATCTTATGGTTCTTTAGTGCTTTAGGGTTGACTTTTTGCTCGGGGCTAGTTTGAAAATTTTCTTGGTTCCTTTGGGTAGTGCTCATGCTTATGAGTTTGTGGACAAGTAGCATGCCAAATTCTATGTTGTAACAAAAGAGAAAAGGTCTGAAAATGGAAAGGACGTATCAGGAATTACTGAAATTTTTCAAAAACATTAAATACCCAGCTCTCTCCTCATGCATGCACCCCTCGGTTCTCTCTCTTCCTCACGCATCTCTTTTCCTCCTTCGACACAGTCACTATGCAAACAGTGATTGTTCGTATTACTGGCAACACAATGCCGCCGACAATGAGACTAGTCGAAAAATGACAGCCACCTTAGGCGACCATGTCTGGGCTAAAGCCTGACCTCCACAGCTCCTAACAACGCTAGCGCAAGCTCGAGAAAATGAGAATGAGGTTTTTACTTTCCGATGTCGATTCCTGCAACTCCGGCGGCCATTGACTTCGATCCAAGTATGAATTTTGATCTTTTCTTCATGATCTTACTGGCTTTGTACTTGGTTTGCATTGATTTTGAGAATTGAAAGGTTCATTTAGATACCCTTTGAGGCTGGCAGTTTTGGCAGTGTTTCAAGCCACTCTGGCCACTTTTTGGCTGGGGTCCTAAAACAAAAAATGATCCCCTAGTTGTGCTTGAAACATTAGTATAGGTATTGGCCTGTGTTTTGGGAATTTTCCTTCACCGGAATTTTCTCAAGACATCGACTATCGGTGTGTGGCCCTGTGTCGGCGACTTTTTTTCGACCTAGAATTATTTATTCATCGTCTTGAGCACAACGATATGATCGAATTTGAATTTGGTTACCTCTGACATTCGAAAGGATATTGCACCTATTATGCGATATCCAGGTTCGATAGGTTCGGATGTTCAATTGGTTCCAATTTCAATTATGTTGTTCCTTATACCTATAGAATCGTGTAGGAACTTAAGAATCGAGAATTGGAGTCTCGGATACTCTCAATCAATAATTCTAGGGTTAGGCGAACCAATCGTAGTCCGATCATGCGATTGGCTTAGATCCGATTGCTCGATCAAGACTAAACTTTCGGCACTTGTTTAGTAGACTTTGTTGGACCTATAAAAACTTTTTGATTGAAAATTGGAGATGGTGGCCTCGCATGACTAATTGATCTAGATGGTGGGCCTCGCCAGTTCGAACGAGAACATTTGGTTAGGAGGTGTTTGTGGTTTGTTTGTTTGTTTTTAAAATGGTATTATGCTATTAGAGTTTTATTAAATATTTGGGAATTACTATTCAATCACTTTTACTTTCCAAGTATGATATATCTATGTTCATTTTTATATAAGTGTTAAATGGTTTTAAATTGGATTGTGTTACCTTCGAAAATACTGTTGTATTCGGAGATATTGATGTCTCTGGACATCCCGATTGCCTTCGGAAATATGGTTGCCTTTGAAGATATTGATTTCTTTGGACATCCCGGATGCCTTCAAAGATATTGATGTTGTCGGACATCCCGATTGCCTATGGAATGTCTTCGAACATACAGTTGTCTTCGGACATCCAGTTGTCTTCGGACATATAGTTGCCTTCGGATTGTCTTCGGACAACTTGGCTGCCTTTGGATGAGTCCACATGCGTATGACATAGCCCCACTAGTCTCGAAGATGCCCGAACCGTGTAGTGCTAGGATTTTCATTCTCATGTTGAGTATATCTCCTTGAGTTCTACTAGGATTTGCCTTCTCATGTTAAGTATATCTCCCTGAGTTCTGCTAGGCTTTTCGTTCTCATGTTAAGTATATCCCCCTAAGTTCTGCTAGGATTTTCGTTCCCAGATTAAGTATATCTCCCTGAGTTTTGCTAGGATTGCGTTCTCAGGTTGACCATTTGTCCCTGAGTTCTGCTAGGATGTGCCACACATGTGGAGTGGACCGTTCCACATGTGAGGTACTTGGAATTGATAGATTATTTATGGAATTGACGAATTATGTTTGGGGTACACCTATATGGAAAACAGTGCAGTCTTGATATGTTTTGTACAGTTAACAGGATATTCTTTGCCACCTTGCTCATGTTATCTTCACAAGGTTGGCCAGGATCCACAACCACTTGCCCGACTTGTCTACATAGGTGGTTGGCTAGTTTCCCCTTCCCCAGTTGCCTTCGGATGTAATAATATTTCCATATACCCCTTAGTTGGTGATTACACGACATATGCACTATGCGGGCAGTCATAGGTATGGCTTTCAGGTAAAAGGTGTGGGTACATGTGTGTTTTGGTGTACAATGATAAACTAATTGAACAGTTCAGTACTTATTTACATGGAATGACATTTAATCATATAGCTTGTTGAAATCAAGGTAAAGAATGGTTTTATAATTTTATTGTTGATTTTACTTTGAACATTTCTGTATTATCTTAATTGTGATTTGTGGTAGAAAGAATTACATGTGGCTTGATCCCTCAGTATGGGTATGTAGGCAACCTAAGCTAACCTACGTATAGCCTCAAGTTTATGATTTGTTTGTTATGTTTAGTTATGTCAAGATGATTTTGCTGGCTTTCTTATTTTGGTAAAGGGGGGGCTGAAGCCCATTGAAACTTTTGCTAATTGGAGTGTCGTTTATACCTTGTGCTTGTTGAACGCTTGGGAAGTAATTGTGTTTGCTGTGCAAGTAGATTTTTGGGTTTTGAGCCAGTTTCAAAGAAGGCTCTGTCAATTTTCCGGTAGAAGTCAAGCCCTAAAGTTGGTTTGGAATTAGGGCAAGAAGGGTATTTTAATAATTTGGGCGGACACATGCCTGGTGTCAGTTAGGGAGATGGTTCATCATGGATTCCAAGGAAGAATTTGGGGTGGGTCCTTTCAATCGGAAGACCCTTGGCCGACACCACACCGGTACTCTACGATTGACCACCATTGTTTTGCAGGGTTCGAGGAAGAGTTCATTCAAGAGAAGCAAGGATTTTCTCCGAATATTCCAGGGGAGGAAATTTGTACAAACAAAGTCCCCCTTGGCTGGCCACTTTGGAGCACAAGAACTAGCACTCTTGTCCTCTCCCAAGTTCTCATTCTCTCGTCTCCATCCATCCTTGGTGAAAAGTTTTGGTGAGACTATTATACCTATTGGTGAGCAGTAGTGGAGTATCAAGTAAGGAGAGATCAAGCACTCTACTTGAACACTTTCTT